TTCAGCCGAGCAGCAATGCCTTGCAGAAAGCAGGGCAGGCACAGGTACAGCGATCACAGTGGCCATCCTTCTCTCAGAGAACATCAGCACTTGTATACAGGCGTTCAGGGTACTGAGGCAGAGCTAAACAAAACATGGTACCCAGAGGGTTGCACAGGCAGCTGCATGAGAAATGGAATTCTTTACTTATTGACCTTGTGAGAGGTCTCCTTACTTGTACCAGAGAATCACTTCTATCAGAACAGCCTTAGCTTTTAGTCTGGTCACCACAGAGCAAAGCTGAAGTGAATTGTAAAAGAGAAAAACAAAACCAATCAACCCAGCAGAACTCAATGCACTGAAGTGGCTTTGGTTATGCAGAGGATTTGTGTCAGTTCCACACTTTTACACTGATGCTTTTGCAATACCTGAACTAATACAAAAATACCCTGAGGACCTTTTGATAAAAGGATTCTTTCACACACAGCATATGATTACTTTTTCCTCAAAACCATCCATTACTTAAATCTGTGATAACACACACAAATAAAAGGTTTTCTGACTTGTCGGATATTTACACTCACTGTTTCTCAGTGAATACATCTAGTAGAATATTTTAGTCTGATGATTACTGCAAAAAACAACTTTGCGTCCTGAAAACCATGGGAGATGTCATCATCTGGTAAATTCAGTTAAGGGAGACATCATCCTCCAATCTCTAAAAGAAACAGTGAAGAGACTTTTAAAAGTCCATATTCTTCTATTTCTTATACTGCCATCTATCTATCTATCAATCAAGATTCTGAAAGGTAAGATGCTCACTTTTCTACTGTTCATCCTTCTTCAGTAAGAGTAGTTACTGTATGAAGTGAACCTTATTTTGCACAGCAAATGCTCTCATGCTCTGGCAGCCCAAGCAAACTACTATTTACATCAAACACATGGAACTTTCTAGAAGGCATCGAGGAAAGAGGCAGTGCAGGCAACTCCTGAAAGTAAGAAGGCAGGACATCCTGCTGTACGCTGCTGTGACATGCCAGCAGCATCGAACAAAACTGCAGTGAGCACTGTGAGAGGGTTAGATCCTCACCCCACTCCATTCACAGATTAAACAGAATCAATTAATCCCTTAGGGATAATTTTCTAAACAGAAATATCATCTAATAAAGGGAAATGAAGACAAGAGTGCTTAAGAGATGTGGTTTTCTAGCACATAGGTTCTAAGTGCCATCATGGGAAACACAGAAAGATCAAAGTGTTAATAAAGGTCATTAGATCAACTTAGGAACAGTGAAAATAAAGGCAATATATTTATATAGTGTACAATACTGTGAGATCGTTCTCCTCTTCAGTTTGCTAAATCTCATACTCTGACTGTAAAGCCTACAGTGACTTCAGGAACTGAGAAGATCGAGGAATAACAGACATCCTAAATATCACTCTCAGCCTTCAAATAAAGCATCACCTCAAAGAGCAACAAAAAGCTGATAAAGACCCCTGAAGATTAACATTCGCCTATCATCAGTTGTTTATGAATTCAACTAGAACACTCACCATAGCAGACAAGAGTGTTTGTAGTAGCCCAAGGTGTTATGAGTGCCTAAAAACTCCCAGCATTGCATGGCTACTGGCTTGTCTCACAGAACTCAGCAAAGAAACAGCAGCACATTTTGTAACTGTAAAACGCAAAGCGCACTGATGCTGCCCTTCATCCAGTCAGGAGAGAGCCAGAAAACACATAGCCACTGGCCAGGAGCGGTTTCAATGTGTCACACTCAACCACTATTGCTCAACTCAAATTATACAAGTAGCTACTTGCTACACAGTCAAACTATTAGTAGCTAAAAGAATGAACAAAGAGCGTTTAGCAACAGCAGCAAAGAGCCAAGCATAAGAATTAGATTCCCACACTCCAAGAGTAATTTAACTTTTTCCCCAATACCTCCAGCTAACACAGCTACATCAATGGAAAGTATAAGCTAATTCTTATATACAGGCTTTTGCAGCCAAAGTCTCAGGGCAGCAAGTTTCACCTGGCTGTAGCAATACACTGTCATCTGCCTAGAAGCATATAGGAATTTTTAACTCCGTGGAATATATTACTCTTATAACCTTTCTTAACTGCACTACCTCGATAGCATTATGGGAGTTAAAAATCTAGCATTTTTTTAGCTGCCTTTAGTGAAGTTACCTGCACTAGAGAACGCAGGATAATCTGAGCTCAGCAACACTGTGACTTACAGTCTATTGAATTCATCCCAATTACAATCGCCTTAAGGCAGCAAGGAGCTACAAGGCAGCACTGAAGGACAGGGAAGGGAAAACACTGAGAGCTATTTTCTTATGTGAATCCAAGAGTCTCTGCACACAGCCCCAAGCAGACCAAACCCAAACCAACAGCTTCCCAAGTAAAAGCACTGACCACAAACAAACCACACTCACTTCAGGCTGGAAGAGACCTGTCACGCTTCAGTTTAAAAGCAGGTATGGTTAAAAAAAAGGCATGACATTTATGTAAACCAGGAGGCGATGAAAAAGAACAGTTGAATACATAGAAATACTCTTTAAAAATTGTTAAGCATGTCCTCAGAACGGTTCAGAACGCCGTCGTACACCGTTCCGCTCTGTTTTTATGCAGTCTATTGCTAGGATTCCTAAGGAGATGTTCTACGACCTTATCCTGATGTGAAGCCTTTACAACACCGTCATCCCTATTCAGCACGACACTTCATCCCCACCGGGTCACAGGACCTTAACAGGACCCAGATTAAAGCATTACACACTCCAGTTTTTCATTAAAGCTTGGGCTGGCGCAGCCAAGACCACAATCCTCCAGCTCCAAAGATCGTACACTAACAACGAACATTTTCGGCTGTGAAATAAACAACCATGGACAGCCGCAGGACGAAGCAAGCGAAGCTCCGCTACAGGAGAGAGCTGGTCCCGTTTCGCGGGGTGTGGAACGACCCAAAAATCCGTTCGAA